TTTAAATGGAAAAGATTGAATAGTTTCCATTGACCTTGTCTGAATTATGTGTAGAAGTCATACTGGATTTAATTTTAAAGGAATGGAATTTTCTGAGCAATACAATGAAAATATTTCCCTGGAATGACAATGAATCGTTTATACTTTTAAAGTCACACAATCATGTTGTTTAAAATAAATAACATTTTATTTTACCATAATATTCCCCTCTGTATCTTCAATCTTGCGTTGGTGCTCTTGGGTTTAAATATGCACATGTACATGTGAGTGACAATTATTTTCTTTCTTTCTTTCTAGTCCCTAAAGGAGACACTAAGGCAGTCGACAAGGTGAAAATGTCCGTCAAGGCAACGGGTCTCCAGCGTTCCCGCTCCGACGCGGGCCGGGACAACGAGCACCGCAAGCCTCCCTCAGGTCTGGTTAAACCCTCCGCTGGCGGCTCCTTCGGTTACAAGAAACCGCCGACCACCGGAACGGCCACTTTCCTGACAGCAGGAGGCGCTACTATCACGAGTGGCTCAGCCACTGTGGGCAAAACCCCCAAGTCCTCAGGCATCCCCATCAAACCCGTCCCAGGCGGAGGTGGGCGCAAAAACAGCCTGGACGCCAGCGGCTCCGATCAGGGGTTCCTCACGCCCAGCGCTCGCGGGAGCATTCAGTATCGCAGTCTGCCGCGACCTGCCAAATCCAGCACTATGAGCTTGACCGGATGCCCTTCCTCTCGTCCTGTTAGTGGCAGCATCGACGCCAGTCTCCTCACCCTCAAACCTGTACCGCCTCTGTCCAACACCATGCCCACCAGAGGAAGAGAAGGAGGCAGCTTGAAAGCGGCTAGTCGCCCGAGCACCACGGGACCCGTCAACCAAACGGACCGAGAGAAGGAGAAGGAAAGAGCCAAGGCCAAAGCCGACCTGGAGATCAGCTATCTGAAGGCCGAGAACCAGAGCGACAGCTGTGGAGAGACTGTGGAGAAGATCCACCGAGTGCGGAGGACGAGCACGAGTAAATACCCAGAACTGAGCTCTCCGACCAGCACGCCAAGGTATGACCCTCTGCACAAATGCCACATATGAAATAAAATTCACTGCAATCAATTTATCATTTTAGTAAATACAATTAAGTAAAATAAAATTATATTATTTTTTAATAACAGAAAAATAAAAAATAAAATAAATACATGTATATACAAAAATTAATTAAAATGTATTGTGTCTTTTCATTAAAAAATTTATTAAATGTTTGTGTGTGTATACACATTTTATTAATATTTTATTCAATATACATTTAGTTTATTTGCTATATATTTAATATTTTGTATTTATATTTAATATGATAGACAGACAGACAGACAGACAGATAGATAGATAGATAGACAGACAGACAGACAGACAGACAGACAGACAGATAGATAGATAGATAGATTTTTTTGTGATGATTTTGTTTGTTCTAAATGAATGAGTTGGCTCTTATATTGGCATTTATACTTTTTAAATCTATATTTTTGATATATTTTTTTCCCCAATTTTTGTTTTTTTTAATAAAATTATTTAATTTGAAAATATCATGCATTGATTGTTATGATTTGTTAAATATTTTATAAAATATTTTTACAGCTAATGCTTCTGGTCTCTTGCATTGTAATTTAAATATTTAACAAATCATAACAATCTCTCCATGATATTTTCAGATAATAATTGGGGACAACTGGGAAAAATGAAGTGAATCCAGAGGCTGTGGGGCACCATGACCTTCCTCCAAAGATCCCTCCCTACTCCAAGCTGCAGGACCTGGCGTGCTCCCGCGTGTCCCCTCGACTCACCCCGAGCCCCGCGCCGGTGCTCCACATCGACTCTCCCAGCTGTTTCTCAGGCCAGGCGCTGTCGGTCAGCAGCTCCCCCATCCTCTACCCCAAGATGTCCGGCCTGCACCGCAGCATGGAGTCGCTGCCGCTTCATATGAGCGTCCCCGCCAAACCTGATCTGGGACACCGGGAAGAAACCAGGAATACTGGGACGTGGGGCACAGGCAGTCGGACGTCCATCACTTTGGGCGACAGGTGAGTTTGGGTCTGTTTATTAGTTGTACGATGTTTAAGTGAGCAAAGTAGAGCAGAACCATGATTTTATATAGAATAAAATATATAGAATCAAATCTATTAAATCATTCAATTCATTAAATCCCTATTAAATTTTAATCCTGGCCAATCTTTTATTTTATTATAAACTATTATATTATTTATTCGTTATTGTACTATAATATTATTATCAATTACTATGTTAATTATTAATATAGCATTTTTATTCAACCAAAGATTATTTATGAAACATAAATATAAAAATATATATTTATTAAAATATACATTTATTTTTATATAAAATTAAAATTATACATGTAAATAATAATATATATCTCTGTTTATTTAAGAACAAATATATTAAACCTATTATCATTATATAATGTTCATTTTATATATATGAAGGATGGTAAGATTAACCGATTCCCATCGGTGCATCAGCATAAAAGTTAACGATGCGATGCATCGATTTTAAAAAGTATGCATTGGATACAAGTTGGCATTTGTATCGCGATGCATCGTTTCTAACATATTTGCATTGGTAAAAAACTATTTATATATATAATTATAAGTAGATGCACTTTACTTTTATTATTTAAAAAGTGATCAAAAATGTGTGACCAATATTTTATATGTAGATATTTCTTCTCTCTAACTGTTTCTCAATGCTGCTACGTGAATATGACGTAGCCTATCACAACACTACAGAGACCGAGACGTGTCCTGAGAGTCACATAAAATATAGATTAACAAGGCAGAGGTAGAGCTGCATCTTCCACCAAATAATTATAATAAACTATCTGTACCATATACGGGGAAGTCGTGGCCTAATGGTTAGAGAGTCGGACTCGTAGCCCAAAGGTTGCGGGTTCGAGTCTCGTGCCAGCAGGGGAGTGAATGTACAGCGCTCTCTCCCACCTTCAATACCACGACTGAGGTGCCCTTGAGCAAGGCACCGAACCCCCAACTGCTCCCCGCCCGGGCGCCGCAGCAAAAATGGCTGCCCACTGCTCCGGGTGTGTGTTCACTATTCACGGTGTGTGTGTGTGCACTTAGGATGGGTTAAATGCAGATCACTAATTCCGAGTATGGGTTACCATACTTGGCCACATGTCATGTCACTTTAAAAAAAATACTGAATTGCATAGCATCATATTTTTTCAATTGCATCGCATTGCATTGAATCGCATTGTGTTGAATCGCATTGTGTTGAATCGAATTGAAATCGGATCACACTGCATCGCAATAGGGGTGAATCGTATCGCATCGGTAGCTGCTTCATATGTATCTTTAATGTATCGTATCATTGGCTAATGGCTATGCATCGAGATGCATATCGCATCGGCCTCAGTTATGGTGATGCACATCCCTAATATATATATATATATATATATATATTATTTATATTATATATAATTATGTTATGTAGTACACTTATATTCCTGTATGTACTTAATTTTCCAAATGAGCACAATAAAATATTCAAAGGATGCTCATGTCATTTGCTGTGAGAGAGTCGCCCCCTGCTGGCACAAGAGGGACACAGCAAGAGATTGAACTAATTAAACAATCAATCAATCAACATTTATTTATACAGCCCTTTACAACTCTCAAGGTGAACCAAAGTGCTTTCCAATAAAAACAGAGCAATAAAAACAAAGATATAAGCCAACAACAAACAATCAGATGAACATTTTGGACTGGATATCAGTGTTATGCTAAGCGTGTTAGTTCGGGGTGAGGTATTTATACTCTATGTGCTGCTCTCTACCCCTCCCAGTTTACAAACTGATAGGAACACTTTTCCCAAGAAAGGATTAAGGTACATCTATTTTATCTCAAATTAACTAGTACAGCAATGCAATGTAGGATTGTTCTGACGTATGTCATGCTTTCTTCCGCAGTCGCTGTGGCAGCGGCCAATCAGAGGGAGAAGTGAGGGAACGCCGTCATTCCCACACGATCACCAGCATGACGGATTCAGAGAGCCCGCCGCAGCTGCCCTCACCGACACACGTGACACAGCCCTTCCTGGGAAAAACACTGCCGACCAACGTGGGTGAGTCAAACACTTCTCAGGTGTGAGATTTTACAGATAAAACCTCAGCAGATGACACATGAGATTAATCACGCTCTCTCTCCACAGTGGCACCAATCCCGAGTTCAGGCTCCGGTTCCCAGATCACACGCTCCAACAGCATCCCGGCGAATGACATGGGATACGAGCTGTACGGCACGTCTCCTCTGGGCAGCTCTCTGTCAAAGAGCATGATGAGATCTGGATCCTTCAGAGAGCCGAGTGAGGATGGTGAGCCGTGGACAGTGTTCAAGAACCTGGCCTAACCTACTCCTGGATTTGATGCAACATGCATAAATGCTTTGTTTCGCAGTGTTCAAATGCATAGATAACAACTCAAACTAACTTAAATGTTTTATCTGTTGCTTTTGATGGAATAGAGAGTTTTATTATAACTATAAAAGCCCAAGTTTTATAGCTTTTAGTGTTTTCTGGTCCAAGAATTTGGTGTTGTTTGATCTCATTTTTACTGATAGCTCAATAACAGTATTATCTTAGAATTATTTATATACTTTTGTAGTATTTATTAATATTTGAATTGGCTTTTATTTTTAGATTTTAGATTATTTTTATTGCAGTTTTAGTTTTAGATATTTTCATACTTAAACGTATTACACTTAGTTGCCAATGCAACATTTTTATTAATTTTGATTAATGAATTAATCAATTTTTAAAAAATTTTTTTTTTTTAATGTTTCTATTTAACTGTTTTTTTTATTCTCGGTTCATTTTGATAGTTCAAATTAAACTTCTTTCAGTTAGTTGCCAAATAAATAAAAAAAATTCATCTAATATTTATATTTCATTTCAGCTTTAATTTCAATTGGCAAAAAAGTTTTAGTTTTAGTTAACAACACTGCTTCATGGCCAAACAAGATATCTAATTATGAAATTGAAACTGAGCCTGTCTTCTATCGTAATACCCATTCCTTGTCTTATTTTGAATAATTCATCAGTGCATGTTATTCTAATCAACAATCAGGTATAAATAAACATCATTCAAGTCACTACCTATGTTTTTCATGTCAAATATCTTTATTCTTTATTATCTTTATTTACAGCATCTTTATTTCCTTTAGAAATAGACCATATTATACAAATAAAATGCAAACAGAGTTTCTTGTTGCCTTAACAGCATTAACTTTTCTATTTTAAATTGGTGAACGTGAACCAAACTATGGCTCTAGCCTGTATTTGTGTGCAATTTTGCTCTCTGTCTCTCAGTTCATGGATCTGTGCTGTCTCTGGCCTCAAATGCCTCATCCAACTACTCGTCGGTGAGTAGAAACTGATGTAACACGTTAAAATCTGATTGGCTCTTTATTTTCTGAAATTTCTCTTAACAACCAGCCTTTTTTCCTCTATTTTCTGTCCTTGCTCACTCTTTCTTGGTCTTTATCGCCATTTCTGAATCTTGCACTCTCAGACTGAAGAGAGAATGCAAGGAGAGGTAAGAATCTTCTTATGACGCTGTCGTCAGCTTGTCTTTATCCTTATTTTCCTCTTATTTTCTGCTGTTGCTGAAGAAAAAAACACATTCATATTCACTTTTGATAGCAACTCATTCTGCAGTATAAACGACATGTAAAACAACCAACTGTAGTTCTTCTTTAATGTGACATCAGTGTTATACTAATTGCATTACATTTTAATATTAAACCTTTTGCTGACCATAAATGTCTGTGTTTTGAAAATACCTTTGATTTTTAATGTTTCTAACTCATTCTTCCATCTCAGCAAATCCGGATACTGAGGCGTGAGCTGGAGTCGTCTCAGGATAAAGTGACCAATCTGACCAACCAACTCTCAGCAAATGTACGCGCAAAACACACCATTAAATACACAATTGCAGATTTAAAAAAAAAAAAAAAAAACAGGGTTATATTACTTCATTCTATATTATTGGTATTATTTTAGAACAATACATTTCATAATTTCACAATTCATATTTCATTATTTAATTTTATGTTTTTAATATTTTTATTTTATTTTATTTTATATTTATAATATTCAATTGTATAGCATACAAATTGAATGTTTGTCATAATATCTATAAGCAAATGTCTTCAGACTTAAATGTCAATAATATGTTGTCAGAGTTGTTTGTTTTTCAGACACACTGTCATGTCAATGACGTCACCAGCATTTATTCATTCCGACACTTTTCCAAATTTTTCAATCATCATTGCTTGTTTTCCCAGGATTATTAATTGAATACTGAGTTTTGCCATGTAATGTTGATCATTGCAATTCACAATATTTCTAGTGTTTTAAATCCAGATCACTTCTCACTGCAAGTTTCCACTAACCCCAGCTGCCTTCAGCTCACCCTGCATTGATCTGCTGCTTCAACACAACTGGCTTCAGCAATACACTCACACACTTTGGTGACTGTCAGATCTGGATGGGATTAGTTTTCCCAGAGGAGTTTTTGTGATTCGGATGGTATTAAAATCACTAATTCTATAAAACACTAATCACCTCAGGGAAGACTAGTCCTGTCTGAGTAGGGCTCTACAGTGTGCTTTATATGGGTGAAAATAAAATTGCTGTCATAAAGGTGCAAATGCACTTAAAAATCACCGCCAGAGGGCCTTTAATGAAAAGTTTTCATTTCTGATGCTGATACCAGTGCATATATAAATGTGTGTGTGTGTGTGTATGTGGGATGGAGGGTTGTGGCCCTATAGTCCTAACAGCACTGTCCCTCTCTCCCTGGCTGATGTCCTGTCCCGGCCTCTGATGACTGACTGCTGCCTGGGGTTGCTGGCTGTTGCAGACAGGCCAGGTTTGTTGGACTGTCACTCACAGCCACGTCCGTCGCTGTTGCATGTGTCTGTGCCCCTCGCAGGCCCCCCGCCCTTAGTGTGGCGCTGACTGATGATGTGGAGTGGAAGTCATTTATGTTTGCCCTGTGGCTTTCAGGTGTCATCTGGCCGAGTGATGATGATGATTATGTCATAGTGTTGATGCTGGGTGCTGTATTAGGGAACCACAAATGCAAACACAAACATAGTCTTGAATGTGCAATAATTGAGGAACTGCATAGCAACACTACTGTGGCAACTACTGAGAAGCAACACACTAGCAGCCACCCAAAACCCTTGCAATATCATAGCAACCACCTTAGTAACTACCTAGCAACCACCCAAAACACCTTTGAAACCATTTGCAGTGCCATAGCAACCACCCTAGCAACTGCTTAACAACCACCTAGAACAACCTAGCAACCTCATACCAATATTCTAAAATTATTCAGAACACCTTAGCATCCACATAGCAACGCCCTAACAGTCACTCCAAACACCCTAGGAACTGCATAGCAACGTGGTAAAAACTACCCCAAACACCTTATCAGCTGCATAGCAACACTGCTCTAGCAACTGCTGAGAATACCTCAGAGCAACACACTGGCAACCACCCAAAATCACTTGCCATAAGACCCACCTTAGTAATTACCTGACAATTACCCAGAACACCCTAGAAACTGCATAGCAATGTGATAAAAATAAACAGCTTAGCAATTGCAAAGAAACATCCACAACATGCAAACAACCACTTAGCAACACTTTAGCAACCACTGAGCTACCAGTAACCACATAGCAATGGTTGGCAACACCCTAGCAACCACATGGCAAATCCAATGTACTGATAATCACTGAGAACACATTAGCAACCACATATTAATACCTTAGCAACCAGCCAGAACACCCTAGCAACTGCACAGCAACATGATAAAAAAACATCCAGAAGACTTTTGCAACTGTATAGCAACACCCTAATGCACTAGCAACCGCATTGCAATGCCCTGGGTAACCATCCATCACACGTTAGCAACCGCATAGCAAACCTTTAGCAACCAGGAGAACATTCTACAGCAAACACCTAGCAAAACACACTAATAATCACTCAATAAACACTGTAGCAACCATATAGAAACACCCTGACAACCACTGAGAACACACCTCTAGAAACCACCTAGCAACACACTAATAACCACTCAGAACACCTTAGCAACCACATAGAACCACCTAGCAACACATTAATAACTGCTCAGTACACCTTAGCAACCACATAGAAACACCCTGGGAACCACTGAGAATACACCTCTGGAAACCACCTAACAACACACTAACAACCACTCAGAACACCTTAGCAACCGCATAGAAACACCTTGGCAACCACCCACAACAGCCTAGCGTCACGGCGGAGTTTTTTCTTCCGGAAATGTGCGTGTAGTTGCGTATGTGATGCACTAGCATGCGCTGCAGGAGTCACAGTGAGTAGCATGATGGATATTGTATTTTTTATCAGATTAATTCCATCGTCTCTCTTTCACACATCTCCTGTAGCGTGTGTGTCGTCACATGACAACCTGATGGTTTTGTTCTTTCCAGCTTGCAGGTCGTCCCCTGTTCACCCTCCATCCATCCATTTCCACAGCTGTTCTTCCCGTCCTTTCCCGTCGCTCTTTCCCAGTCCAGATGGAGACACGCGTGTCTTTGTGGGTGTGTGTGTGTGTGTAATGATTGGTAGCGTCTGTCAGACACTAACCTGCACCTGTCCCTGTGTCTGAAGGCTAACCTGGTGGCAGCGTTTGAGCAGAGTCTGGCCCTCATGACGGCACGACTGCAGAGTCTGTCAGTCACTTCTGAGCAGAAGGTCAGTGTACACAGAAACAACACACTGCAGATTTACATGTGTTAGATGTGACATTTTATTACCCATCATTCAAGCATTGTAAAATTTGTGCAATTGCCTACTATATAAAACTATTATTGAAATAATTTTTGTTTTAAATATATATATATAAATATTACATAAAAATACTAATTATTTTAATAAAGCTAAATGTAGAATTTAGATGGATTAAAGGTAGATGCATTAAATTGGAACATTTAAATGGTTGCAAAAGATTTATTTCAAATAAATGCTGTTCTTTTTAACTTTATATTCATCAAAGAAAAGTATGGTAGTTTCCACAAACATATGAAGCAGCACAACTGTTTTCAACATGAATAATAATCTGAAATGTTTCTTGAACAGCAAATCAGCATATTATAATTATTTCTAAAGGATCATGTGACACTGAAGACTGGAGTAATGATGCTGAAAATTCAGCTTTGATCACAGGAATAAATTGCAATTGACAAAATATTCAAATGGAAACCAGTTATTTTAAATTGTAATAATATTTCACAAAATTACAGTTTTTACTGTATTTTTGATCAAATACTTGTAGCCTTTGTGGGCATTTTTCTTTCATTCTTCTGACTTCAAGGCTTTTATATAACTGGTTATACACAAATTGACTGTTATTACAATTTTAAATACTAAACAGAGTTTAATCTATGAAATAATGTGAATATGTTTTGTTTCTAATATGTAATTCCATCAGAAGTAAGTCACAGGGTTGCACAAAACACAAATGTCACCATTTCATTAAAACTGACACCAAAAACAGCCAGAAAAAGGCACTTGTGTTAGGTTTTAACAATGGAGTTTCATGGTTTGTTTGTGAAAAGTTTCCTTTTTTACAGTGGAATCGGATATGTTCATGTTTCAATTTTTAACATTCAAGTGTATCTTTGGCTTATCATTTCAGGATTCTGAGCTAGTGGACCTAAGGGAAACCATAGAAGTCCTAAAGACCAAGAACACAGAAGCCCAGTCCATCACTCAAGGGGCCCTCAATGTCCCCGACACCACACCCAAAGGTTTTTTTTTTTTTTTAATGCATAAGGCATTTTTTGTTTGTTTGTTTTTAGACTTGATGGAAGTGTGCTAAATGAACACTGATTCATTTTTCCCTCAGAGCTGCAGATCGACCGGCAGAACTCGTCAGAGAGCATCTCCAGTCTGAACAGCATCACCAGTCACTCCAGCGCCGGCAGCCTGAAGGAACAGGAGGCCAAGAAGAAGAAGAAGAAGAGCTGGGTGAGGATGTGAACTGGAAAAGAAAACCGTTTCAGATGGTTTTATCTTTGGTTCAGGCTGGTCCAGGCTGCTCATTTAGCTGATCTAATATGTGTAATGTAGATGTAGATGATCTGTTCCAACGTTGCGATTAAGTATGACTGTGATCTCTTCCCTTTGCTTCCCTGCGCTCTATTTCACAGGTCTATGAGGTGAGTTGTTTTCCCATCCCATCCACATCCATCACAATCACAGCATACTTGACGCTTCTAAAGAAACAATCGATATCTTGTTTGCCGTTGTATTATGTGGTCAAAAACTCAGTCAATAAGTCGCAGCGAGTTAAAATTGGATAGTATAGTGTGAAATGGATGCTTTCAGGTTTAGAATCTGCCACATTTAAAGGATGAATTTGTGTTTTAGTAATATGCAATGCAATGTACTGTACAATATATTAATAGTCATATTGACTGAAAAATGAATTCTCCACATGGTGTTTCAGGTGTCCTGTTAACTCATTATTTCATGCATTCTTAAACTGTTTGATATGTGCTTTGTGATTAATACTGTCATAACTAATGCCTAAGACGAGCATATTATTATGAACCTTGTCAGGGTAGACGCCATATTTAATTCAACATAGATAAACAGCGTTATTGTATACTATTATAGTATAATATTTTGAATGAGCATTTATTGTTATATATTTCAGTTAATTTAATTTATAATTCAATTTAATTTATTTTAATTTTAGGTTTAATATGTGCTTTTGTCATTTTTATTTGTTTTTGGGTTTTTATATTTCTATATGTCTTTAATTTATTTTTATTTCAGTGTTATTTTTAGCAGTACTTCACCTTATTCCAGTTAGTTGTCTAATTTTTGTTTAAGTGTAAGTGTTTCCATTTGTTTATATCTATATATAGTTTTTCCAATGTTTATACTTTATTTCATATTTATTTCAGATATGGAAAATGATTTGTAATAGTTCTATTTTTAGTTCCAGTTTTTGAGAAATTAGACATTCATTACATCGTACTACTAATGCTAGATGAATGCTTTGCTGGAAAATAAAGAGACTTGTTGGATCATTCTAGCTAAAATTCACTGTTGAGACACTTAATGCATATGCCATCATAAACACATCAAATCATATATGCCTCCACTGCATTTTTTGTTTTGCTATTAGCTGCCATTATGAATCCAAACTATCTATACGAACACTCTGGGAATTCATACTTGTTTTTAAAAGACTCTCAATATAAAGTGGTTGCTTTAGTTAAACGTTGACCCTCATTTCTCCTCTACATGCAGTTGAGGAGCTCCTTCAACAAGGCCTTCAGTAAAAAGGGTTCCAAAGCACCATACGCAGATATAGAGGAGATCACAACCCCGGTCACATCCGCCCCGTCTTCACCCAAAATCATCCACAATGTGGATAATGCCTCCTCTAAGGCCTCGACTTCAACATCAGGGTAGGAAATGCAACTGTTGAGGTTCTTCACAAGATGATTGGAATTACGCAGCATTCACATTTCATAGTTATAGGTTTGATGTCGGTATTTACGGCAGATCGTGCGAGGGCCATGAGGACACTGAGCACGAAGAGAAAGTGGTGTCAGAGTTACGCTCGGAACTATGGGAGAAAGAGCGCAAGCTGACGGACATCCGTTTGGAGGCGCTAAGCTCCGCCCATCAGCTGGAGCAGCTGCAGGAGGCCATGACCAACATGCAGGTGTGTGTGAGATGCTGCTTAGAGGAACATGAATTCATGAGCAGGCTTATATTTGCCTGTAGAACTGATTTCAGGCCTGAGATTTGAGATTAAATGAACACAACTTTTGATTGATCACTGGTTTTGTGAAATTGCTTTTGGCTGCAAACACGGACTACATAAAAAAATAAAAAATAATATAAATTTAATGTAAAATTTAATTAACTAATTAATAATAATATGAGAATGTGTAAAGCTCTTCTCCTGTCACCGTGTGTCTGTAGGAGTATTTAGCGGTGGTGGACCCCGGCTCCAGTCTCGGTCTCTCTCAGGACTCCATCTACAGCTACAGCCTAAGCCATCTGAAGAGGGTTCTGGGAGCGCAGCCGCCTGAGACGCCTCCTGTGCGCCTCTACACCAAAGGCTCCTCCTGCATCAGCGTGACTCTGAAAGGTCAGTGTGTTGAGGCTGCTGGCTGACAATGGAACAGTACATGTACATGTGAACTCCAACACTGATCTTTTACTGTAGCTATTGGGTCAACTTAAGCCATACATTTAACACTGTTTGATGAACACACATGAAATATGAACATGTCATGTCTGTTATAAATTTTAATATATATACATATTTTTGTGTTTATTTTTAGGGAAAGTATGGTTTGTCCCAATTAAGTATTTATATTATGTAAATAAATAAATTTCTATTTAGTTTTAATTTATTTATATTTCGGTTTTAGTCATTTTATTATTTAAAATGAAACTTATTTTGTTTTAGATATTTGTCAAGGCAACATTTTTAATTTGAGTTTAGAACAAAAAATGCTAATACCCACAGGCAGCGCTGCAGTGTGAATGAGGGATTTTCACAGCTTGAATCCCCAGAGAAGTGCAATATAGCGCTAATGTTTCTCAGTCTAAACAGCAGCCAGCAGGAGGTGTGATTGAACAGCAGAACGTTGCCGCCCTCCACAATCCCATCATTCCTGAGCTCTCAGTCTGATATATGACCCAGGGAATTGGGGCCATTACCCAGACTCCTCTGGGCTTGGTCTAGGCGTTATTTTAAGCACAGGCTCCAACTCTTAAGTTGTTTATTGAGGCGGTGTGATGCTATAGACCACCCAGACTAAAGAAAACACAGTCATTTGCTTGTTCTCTTTCAGAGAAAATGTGCATTCCTGCTTTTCTGTGTGCGATTTCATCCTGTACTACATTAAAAAATACACACACACACATATATATATATATATATATACACACACACATATATATATATATAGTTTTCATTATTTTACTATATTAAAAAGATAGCATTTTTATATGTTTAAAAATATATGTTTTTATATACCTTAAAATAACCACAATAAACCTCTAGCTTACTCTTGAAACTCTGCTGATTGCTTGTAAATATCAGTCATTTGTTGCTTTGGATAAAAGCATCTATAAGACTAGTTGTAAATGTAAGCAGTCATCAGTAGAATGACGTGTCTGTGGGCGGGGTCAAGTTGTTCGCGGCCGGCCAATGTAGAACATAGGCGCGCATTATGCAAATGTGTTACCCCGTGACGTGTAGCCGTCACGGAAGTGGGATTCGAATTACTAACGACTCGTTTCAGCTGTTCAGAGTCGATTCTTTATTTTGGGAGACACTAACTTTATTTATCGTACACTTTCAGCTTTACAACTTTGCAGGTCGTTTACATTCACATACAGCTACATTACACACTGCATGATAGGCAATATTGGAAATGGCATAATAGGGGCACTTTAAACATGTTATCTGTATTGTACTGCTTTTGACCTTTATTTCATACCCACTGTTTGCCCTGACTGCAGGACTGAAGGAGAAGTGTGTGGATGTTCTAGTGTTTGAGACGCTCATCCCCAAGCCCATGATGCAGCATTACATCAGTCTGCTGCTCAAGCACCGGCGCTTGATCTTATCGGGCCCCAGCGGCACAGGGAAGACCTACCTCACCAACCGCCTCGCCGAGTACCTGGTGGAGCGCAGCGCTCGAGAGGTTACCCCCGCCATCACCACCACCTTCAACATGCACCGCCAGTCCTGCAAGGTACACAGCAACCAAAACATATACACTATAATATTCATATTTATAAATGCTGTTTATGGTCATCATGCTCAAGACAATTCATATTCAGTAATATTATTCAAAATTAATATTAAGACGATCGGATGAGAACCAAACTTGAACTGAACTGAGCTGGATAATCACACTTTGGTCTTCTGTAGAGCTTTTTTTACAGCTGAAATTAAAGTCATTTTACAATTGCTGAACTTTGATGACACTATTATTGAACTAAATTGAGCTGAATAATGAAAAGCTTTCTATTTCAGATGAATGCTGTTCATCGTAGAATCCTGAAAAAAATGATAATCAGAAATGTTTTTGAGCAGCAGATCAGCATATTAGAATGATCTCTGAAGGATCATGTGACTGGAGTAATGATGCTAAAAATTCAGCTTTGAACACAGGAATAAATGAGTATATTTGAGTATATTCAAATAGAAAGCAGTTATTTTAAATTGTAAAAATATTTCACAATATTACTGTTTTTGCTGTATTTCGAAGCCTTTGTGAGCAGAAGAGAAATCTGATCTAAAACTTTTGAACGGTAGTGTATATTAATATTATTTATAATCATATTAAATATATAAAAATATTAATATATTTTGTAATATACTTATATAATAAAACACTTAAATCATAATAAACCTCTGTCTTACTTTTGAAGCTTGGCTTTGTGAGTAGTGAGACTCTTGTATGAATCAAATTATAGCTGAATCAAATTTGTTTCATAATGATGAACTGTGCAGCATTAACCCTGTTATTGAACTAAATTAAATCAACACTGAACTGAATTGAGCTGCAAAATGACACTGTTGTCTTCTGTAGAGCTGAATTTTATGGCAATTTCTATTTTTAGGAGGATAGTAATATTTATACTATTATAAAGATAGCATTTTTAATTGAACAGTGACACTATTGTCATAATGAATAAATGAATAGTTAAATGAACAAGGACACTATTGTCTTCTGTATAGCTGCTTTACAACTGAAATTGAATTTGTTTCATAACTGATGTATTTTGCAAAATTGCCCCTCTTTTTTTCTTGTTTGTTACTGTGAATCTGCTTTGAAACAATCTGTATTGTATAAAGTGCTATAGAAATAAGTGTGACTACAGTTTACTTGACAATAACCTCTGTGTCTTTGTCTTTTTATCCCAACAGGACCTTCAGCTCTATCTGGCCGATCTGGCCAATCAGATCGATCGGGAGAGCAGCACAGCTGAGATCCCATTGGTTGTCATCTTGGATGATGTGCATGATGCAACATCCCTCAGTGAACTTGTTAATGGTGCTTTAACCTGTAAATATCATAAGTGGTGAGTCTAGGAAAGTCTACACCAAAATGACAGATGGGTTTTCCAGTCATCTTAAAGGTGATAAGAGCTGTTTTGTTTCTCTTTTTCAGTCCATATATAATAGGGACAACCAATCAGCCAGTGAAGATGACCCCTAACCATGGCCTACACCTCAGCTTCAGGTGGGTGCTGCTGACACACTCAGTGAGGAACAGCTGGTACGCGTTGCTCCTCCTGATTGAGGATCATGTGCTTGTGTTCTGATGGTCACTTTGGGTGAGACTAACATGTGCTCGCCTTCACACTAGCTATATACTGCAAAAGGATGCCTAATTTTCATATTTTATAGTGTTAAAAAATGTGTATTTCATTATGCCTAATATGGCCTAACTCACTTTTTCAACAAATAATCACAAACCACAATTCTAAGCATAGCTGTGCTTTAAGCATAGTTTCCTCTCTCATGAAACTCCTCAGTCTCTTTTTTCAAACATAAAATATTAAATAATTTCACTATAAATAAAAGTTGCATGTCCATTTGGTCATTTATTTGACAAGTAGCCATGATAAGCAGGGTAATAGACAGTCAGCTGGTCGTTATTGCAAAATAAAGCTCTTCAGGATAATGTAAGACCTTGATCACTGTGTTGGGGTTTATTTTTACACAATGACTGGCTCACTGTACATGAATTTTTATGTTGTTTACACACACATTTATAATTCAATAGAGTTTAATGTTATCAAAGCAAATGAGATATACACAAAATTACTTAAATGAATATTTATTTGTGAAATATTTACTTACACTATTTAAATGTAATTTATTGCTGTGAATTTTCAGCATCTGTACTCCATTACTCTTCAGTGTCACATGATCTTTCAGAAATCATTCTGATATTCTGTTTTACTGCTTAAAGGAGTGATTGATCAGTTTTTTTCAAAAACTTGATTGAGTTTATGGGGTACAGTGTAACATGTGTTCATGCTTTGTTTAAAAATAAAAAAAAAAACCATTATTTTCACATATTTTACCTTTATTCTACACCGCTGTTTCCATTCTTGTCAAAACGGTCTTTTGAGTTCCTGGTTTTATGAAGCCACAGAAATACGCAATGGGCTCTGATTGGTTAGCGGGCTCAGTGTGTTTGTGATTCGCTAACTGCCTAGTTCACGTTGTCCGGAAATGTCACGCCCCCTTACCATTATGGGTAGTTGCGTGTTCCCGGGGGCGGGGTTTGTGTAAACATCGGGGTTAGTGATGTCACAAACCCAGGAAGAAGCTCGTTGTAGTCCCTACCAGCCGTTTTTTTGTAGTCCTTAAATAGTGAAAATATCTCCCTTTGCATTGAACTGAGCGTTGTAACTTTGCAGACGTTGTTTATGCTCTAACAGCAACATTACACACTAACTAAAGTTCAAAAAGTGAAATCATAATCAACCACCCCTTTAAAAAACATTTCTTCTTTTTGTTGAAAACAGTTGCTCTTTACTGTTTTTGTGGACATTCTTGTTTTTCAGGATTTTTTGATGAATAGAAAGTTCAAAAGAACAGCGTTTACTTAAAATAAAATTTTTTGTAGGATTATAAATGTCTTTACTGTCACTTTTGAGCAATTTAATGTAATCCTTTCTGAATAAAAGTATTAAAAAAAAATAAAAAAAACCTGACCCCAAACTTTTGAACGGTACTATATTTCTCAATTTTCATATTTGTTTTATATATTTCCTCTATACAGGATGGTGATGTTTTCCAATAACGTCGAGCCAGCAAACGGGTTCCTGGTACGTTACCTGCACAGAAAACTAATGGAGGCCGAGGATCCCCGGAGCTTGAAGAATGAAGATCTGCTGCGGGTGCTGGACTGGGTTCCCAGACTCTGGTACCACCTCCACACCTTCCTGGAGAAACACGGCACCTCTGATTTCCTCATTGGTAATTTTCACTATTATATCGGCACATATATTGGATGAGAATGAGGAGGCATTTATTTCAATTACAAGCTTGATGTGCCTAATTAAGTGAGCATTTCATCGATGTGTGTCCAATCTGTGTTGCTGTAGGTCCCTGCTTCTTCCTGTCCTGTCCAGTTACGGTAGAGGAATTCCGCACGTGGTTTATAGATCTCTGGAATCTCTCAATCATCCCATACCTGCAGGAAGGAGCCAAAGATGGCATTAAGGTGAGTCAAAGTAGCCTAAATGTAAAGAAAAAAATATTAATCCGTTTTGTGTGTCGGTCAGAATGCCACTTCCTATCTGTCTAAGTGGGCAGTTTTTAGGCTAAATGAGTGTGAATGTGTGCGTCTGCAGGTTCACGGGCAGAAGTCGGTGTGGGAGGATCCGGTGGAGTGGGTCAGAGGATCTCTGCCCTGGCCATCTGCTCAGCAAGACCAGGCCAAACTCTTTCACCTGCCTCCCCCGAGCACGGGCCCCGGCAGCCCCAGCCAGCCAGGAGACGATCGGCCACATAAGGAGACGCCGCCCAGCTCCGTCGAGTCAGATCCACTGGTCAGTGTGTGGATTAGGGCTATAACATATAAAATAAAATAACATATAAAATAAAATAAATGATATATATATATATATATATATATATGTGTGTGTGTGTGTGTGTGTGTGTGTGTATGTGCAATCTGAATAAATATTTTTAAATCCTGTAAAGATAGATAGATAGATAGATAGTAAATGTAAATACCCTGTAATCCTGTAAATGTAAATATGTATTGTGTGTGTGTGTGTGTATCAGATTTTAATACTTAACATGACTGCTTAGTTCATGTTTGCCAATTTTAATGGACCTTCCTAATTAAATTTTGATTTATGTTTGAGTTATATAAGAGACTTTTATATGGTGTTGGATGTAATGCATTACCAAGTAATTAATTACTGTAATTTAATTACTTTTCCCTTGAAAATGTAAAGTAAGGGATTACTCATAATTTTTTTGTAATTTAATTAGTTACTTCTGATATGAAATGCATTAAATACTATATAGACTTTTGAACAATTCTATTTAAAACAATAGTGAATTTATCATCAAAATTTAATCCCTCAACCGCGGGGCCCGGTGCGACTGCACCAGTTGCACCCCCCTAAGGACGGCCCTGAATGGCTTAAATATCTCATTTTCTCATTCCTGCGATCTCTGCTCTTTTCCCAGATGGCTATGCTGTTAAAACTACAAGAGGCTGCCAATCACATTGAATCACCGGAGAAAGAAACAGATCCAAAACTCCCTCCTCTCTGAACATCCGACTGACGTTCCCATCATCTCCTCCATCTCTCCTGCCGCCCATGTGGAGGTCCAAACTCCAACAGCTGCCCAACACCTGCAGATGACACCGTACTGTTACTATAAATGCTGTTAGAGCATTTCACCCACTCATTTATTATATCATCCATCCCACCTTTTTCATTTCAGTCAAATGTCCCTTACAGTAAAGTACTGTGGTGGTACCGTGGTTCAGTGATGCTATCAGATGGTAATACCGTGGTGCTTTCTCATATGGGGGAGTTGACTTGCTCTGCAATATGACATGCTAAACGATCATTTTAAAAAGCATTTTGCTTTTTTAAAGTTATTATGCATGCAGCATGCATAATAATGAGCTCCTACAAATCGGAAGACTACATGGAGTATTTATACTATATGGAATATTTGTTCTAAAATCAGACCAGGACCTTTAAAATGATCTAGTGATGGCAAAAATAGTGGTTAAAATGGTAGAAAATTTTCAGAAAGAAATGGAGACCCGTTACAGCACCTAAATCTACTGTACACTTTTCCATATGCATTTATTTAAGGCAGAATAGTTTAAATATTGGTGGTGATCCATAAAACTATCCATAAACCATGGTGCTGAGTACATAATAAGGTATTGTCATGTTAGTGACCAAACCATGGTAATACCACCACAGCCGGTTTATCCATGGTAAATTTTTGTTTTTACCATGGTACTTTTATGTAAGGGCTTGCAAAAACAATTAACTCATTCTCCTAAAAAAAAAACAATGACGAAAATTATCCTTTTATAGCACTTCTAACTGCATATTTCTGTTTATGGACACTTTAGTACGTATGTAATTCTCTTTGTGGGAACCTTTACTGTTCCACTGCTGCCCGTATTAACAACTCAACGATGCAGGTGCTAAAATCACTAGTGTGCACACGTGACTTCATCTAGTGGCCATGAATAAGAGCCAACATGGGAGATATTGGGAAATATGTCTCACTTAATAATGTAACACTTAAGCCTATGCTACAGGCCACTTTAGCCTATGCTGCTTTTTGTACGTTTCATTTCTTTCACGTTTGAATATGGCCACAGCATGAGCTAGTTTAACCCCAGAAACACTTATGCAGACTGCATTACAGCTTTTCTTCCTCTTTCTAACACAGTGAATGCCTTATAACAGATTCTAAGTGTGCTATCATGTTCCCTCCTCACTCTGTAGGGGGCAGGGTTGAGCAAAGATCAGAAATGAATAGGCACCTTGCAATTTTTGAGTGTGAATCTGAATTAGATTGGCAACAAACAGGATGTTGGATAGGATTTTGATTTAAAATGAAAGTGAGGGGAAATTACTGAATTGCAATTCAGTCATGCAGTCTTTGAATTTCATTCCATTTTAATTCTAATTCCTTACATTTAAATTGAAAGTATGGTTCTGCATCCTGTTTCAAAATGTGCTTGACCCTGATAAGGGGAAGCGTTCTCAAAACTGAAGCTTGTGTTCCCTCAAAAGTTCCCACAGTTCACAAAAGCACCTCAGTAACTCGCTGTAAAAAACGGCGGACCAAACAGACCATTTTGTGCACTTTGATTTACTGTAATGATACTGTAGAGATGTTTTACTTGGCTTTGACACTGATCTCAGCTCAGGGGTTTGGTTATCTCAGGCCTCTAATTAGATTCAATACAGCTACTTTCTCAGTTACTGCTCTCTTTGTAGCCAATGGTGCAAATGTAGAAAACCAAATACTCGGTGCTTTATTCAGTACGAGGCTTTATTTGAAGAGACGTTCACCCCAATAAAGTACACACGGAAGTGAAGGCGAAGATCATATTTGATTATTTGGTGCTATCCAGTATCACTATTGGAAAACATCACTTGGTTTAGCAAAAATCTCACTTGACATCCAATAGCCTTAGTCTTGTGGCATTTAAGGGAATCTTTAGGTACAACCAAGTGATCATTTTATTTATACGATCCTTATAGTGATAGTTTTAGAGCATTAAGTTTCTTTAGACGTAGTTTAATCATCGCACTAAGAATCCACTACTTATGTCTAAGTAAATCAGCCTCCTTTTTAAATCCAAAAACATATCAAACCGTAAAGCATTTCTCTGAAGCTTTCGAGTAATATCAAAGTCAGCAGTTCTGTTGAGTGCTAACGAGAGTAGTGTACACTACATCCAGACGTCCTCAATGCTCACAGAAAGCAGTGGTGGACCAGTAATTTCCCATCTCTGTACCTGAAACTAGTATCCAAACATGCATGTAGGTATGATCCAGGCAACTGAAGTTAAAATATAACTCCAATCATTCCATTCCTTTCTATTCATCTATACTGCATTATCATTACTCTACAGTGTAAACATGATTTCCATAGTTCCTTCTCCAAGAAATGAGGGATTGTGGCATTTTTTAGCCAAATAGGGAGACTCGTAATGTTCAAGATGGCGAAATGATTTTGTTTTTTTAGCCTCCTTCGGTTGCGCTGCTGCTGCTTCAAGTCTAATATGTGACATTTATATTTGACTACATTCCAGACATAAGACAGTGTGTCAGTGGCTTTGGTTGCTTTTCTGCTGAAGCCCATTTGCAGTTTCATTCTTGCTCCTGCAACAAAATATTATGTTTCATAACCGCGCCATGTTGGTGATTTACCACTGATATTGAATCTGGATCAGCGAATAAAGCTAATCATTGAGGGAATAAATCTCATTCTGTTGTAACGCGAGCAGGTAGAGATGAATTTGCGGAGCGTTTTCATCAGCAGCATGCTATTCTTGTTTTAAAAAGACGTTTATTCGTGTGACTAAAGCCGCTGTACACTGTCTGCATCATGTTTCTGGTTATTGTGCCTGTAACCGTGTGATAGCTGTGCTGTGTTGTGCAAAGTCCCATTTAACACGACAATTCAGCAACTTTTTACTGTCTACTTTGTCTGTCCTGGAATTGTAATGACAGCACATGGATGGTGACTGGTAAAACTGGATTTTTACATTGATTTCACGGTCTGTCGCTCATAAGCTTTGGTTTGTGTCTGCTTCTGTTGCTGTTTTCACTCTTTCATGCACCTTTTTATGTGGACTATATTATTGCAATAATTTGTCATGTATGTTAAACAGAGTCAGGAACTCCATGGGATAAAGACTTTGGGTGATTGTATGCCTTGATGGGGCTGCCTTAAGGTCAGGGTCAAGTTTGGGCAACTCGTGAATGAACCTATGGATCTTTAATATCAGGTGGTTTGGTTTTATGTAAAGTGTTTCAAAGAGGACCAATGAAAAATATAAAGCTGTTACAGATACAAAGTGGTAAGAAGTTGCTGAATAGTCCCTTCACTTCATGCAATGCTTGATATTGATTCAAAAGTCCAATACTATTGCATAAAAGGTAATATGACGGTAGAATATGTAAGTAAAAATGTGCAATGGGTTTATAAATGTCGTAAATGCATGTCACCTTAGTGTGAAGCAGAATTACGGATGTGTTCTACCTAATTTGGGGTTGTATAAAAGAATGATATTACTTTCTTTTTATCGTAATGTTCCCCCAAATGATTGTTTGTACGACTCCAGTTCCATTTTGTACAGAACGTTATAAATGTAAACATTGTACATAGCGTGGCCCTGCATTTGCAACAACAATCATATAAGAAAAAAACATAATGTCATTAAGAAATGTGGTTTGTAAGGAAGACTTGTGCTTTTGTTACCGATGGAGTGGCCCGGTACAAGAAAACTGCCATGCTTAGGATGTTCGTAATATGACCACCAAGACGTTGTCCATCTGTCATAATAAAACCACAACGTTCGTTAAGTGTGTTCTTTGTCGTGTCTTATGTTTTCACATGCTGAAGTTAAAGTACACAGAGTAAAGATATCTAATGCATTTTTAGTTGCTCAGAGTTAAATCTATCAAAAAAAATTTGATTAAGTTTAGCATTCTTGGAAAGTCGTGGGGACACACAAATGCCAATGTTTACAGACAGGTGCGAAGACAGACAGACTAGATAGACAGAAACACAATTATATAATTAAGTAATTAATAAAGTAGACCTGGCTGCTTAATAGGGATAGTCCATCCAAAAAAAAATTCACCTTCAAGTTTTTCAAACCTGTATGAGTTTCCTACAATTTAAATCATTTAAATGCTGTTGAAGTCTTACTTTTGTAATTTGTGGTGTTAACCCTGATAGCACACGTACATCACTGAGACGTCTATTTGACTGCAAGAGTGAGTTTGCTCATCTGCAATCCGTCTATAGGACGTTTCCTATCAGATGTCAAATAGACGTTTTGAAAATGTCTTTAAGATGTTTATGATTTAGAATGTATGTAAAACTGACATCTTACAGAGGTCTATCAGATGTTTGTACACAGCAGATGCTTTCCAGATGAAGCGATCGTTAACAGACGTCTTGCAGACGTACTAAGAAATCGGTTTAGTATGTACTTAAAACGCCCCTCCCCCAGACCCTCAGTACTCGCACGCTTCTTATCGGCAGTGACACTCGGCTGTGAGTGTATATATACAGCTGAAGTGACCGTGATGCTGAGAGCTCCGCTCGCTCCCTCACTTGAAACTCTCGAGGGGAGGAGTTGGCCAGCGCCACATGCCTTAGGCTATAAATCTGGGTTGACTAACCTTCAGACTGAGCCGAAGGACTTACTAGGTCTGAGGGATCCTTGAAGCGGACAAGCATGCCGGCAAAACCAGCCCCGATAAAGAAGTCGGCTAAGGCCGCCAAGAAGGAGGAACCCGCACCGGCACCCGAACCAGCGCCCGAGCCCGCACCCGCACCGGAACCCGCAGCGGAGGCCGCCCCAGCTGAAGGAGCCCCGGCGGAGTCACCTCCCGCTGAAGCCCCACCTGCTGAAGCCCCACCAGCCGAACCAGCTGCAGGTACTGAGTGTGTGTGGAGACCCCCAACCTACTCATGGATCTTAAAAATGATACTTTTTAAGGGGGGGGGACTGTACATTGCTTTTCTTGTTCTAAGAGGCAAATCAATCATATTTACTCCAAAATTGTCATAATAATTTGCATAAATACTAATGAGAATAATCCAGTCACGATGATGAATCATAATTGAGTACTGCAAATACTGCTATGAAGTACATTCAAGTACTACTTTACAATATAAGTAATAAATCGTTATTTTTAGCACTGTGATGGGAACATTTATGTGTAGTAAGAATTAGAAGAAAAAATTGCTTAATTGTCATGTTACCATACAAAGAAAAAAAACTTTATGCAAAAGTTTCTTTTATCTTACAATGATTTTTTTGTGAAATATGATGACCCTGCTTCTGTAAGATCCATTCTATCATTTGCAATAAATGCAAACAAACAGACACTATTAACACATGCATGTTGTCATTTAACAATTACCTCTTAATGCATGAGAACTCAGTGCACATTGCTACTGGAGCCAAGAACTTTTGATAGCTACTTGGAAAACGTCTGACTACAGCTGGTGGTTTAAAAAAAACACCAGTGAGCGTTGACACCTGTTAACCTCTCCTTGCTTCCACACTCCACTGATCAAACCAGCTGTTCGCCCTGACCAACTCGACACCTATTCTGCTGCTTTTGCTCTACTGTAAGTGTGTTTGATATCAGTGACAGCAGTGCAGAATAACATGCAAAAATAAAAATTAGTGCCTGCAGAGCATAAATTTTAAGATGAGCTTCTACGGAAGCCCAATTACTTAATCTTTCACTGTAATGTGTGATCATTCACATGATAATCTGTTCTGCTTTTTAACAATAGCAAAGCATGCTTTTCACCACCTGTGCAATTATTATTTTAACACCAGCTATATCCACTGAGGCCTTATAAGCCAGAGGTATTTAGAGCTTGTGGCAAACGCAGACAACTCTATTTACAGCCCCACAGAGAGCTTTAACACAATGCATGAAGAAAATAATAAACATTTAACATTAAACATTTTAATTAGTGAGTCCAGTCACAAGGTAAGTGTATGATTAAGGGGAAGTCTTCAGTGATTGTTGGTTTTAGAAATATTCTTTATATTAAATGAAATAATGATAGCATAAACAATATCAGACGTGCACAAAAAATGGATGCATATAAATTATATTCATTATTTTGTGTACAGCTTATATGCTATCATTAAATAATTTCATTTCTTATTGTTTAAACAAGGTTAAATATACTAAAATGAACTTGAAACAGATAATGTGCACTATTCATCCAGTCGGACTCCATTATCTGTGGATGCCAAAAATCTCAAAATGACCAAATATTGTTTGACGTATCGGTCTGTACTTGTTTCTGTTTTTAAAAACATATTCTGTGCATGCAAGTCAAGCCTCAATTATTTGGTCCATTCTAACATTATACTAACATTTAAACATGATTTGCTGGCACATCGCATAAGAAGCCATTGCAAATGCTGCTGAGGCCCCGCTAATGGTAATAGCAGTGCTAAGCCAATGGTAAACAGCTACTGTAAAATTATTTGACACACTGCATTTGCACAGTATTGAAAAAGTCAGTCAACATGAAAGACAAAATGTTCGCAACCCATTTTACTTACACAATGTGGCATGAAAAAAAGCACATTCAATTACAAAACAATGTACGAACCTGATTTCAGTGTGTCAGTATTGATTTCATGTCGACTTTCTAATCTAATCAATGCTGCAAAGACAAATTTTGAAAGTTATGTTTGCTGAGATCATATCTTGGATTATGCCAAAA